CTGATATCAGGAATAGATTTAGCATAAAACCCATTTTTATTCCCATTCTGGGTAAAGTTTGGAGGCAGAACTAATGGAATTTGCTGATAGATCTGATACGGGGTTTAAGAGAGAGAGAAAAGTTAAGAATGACTCCAGGGATTTTTGCCTAAGCAACTGGAAGATGGAGCTGCCGTTCTCTGAGATGAAATACACTGCAAGGGGAGCAAGTTTGACAGGGACAATCAGGAGCTCAGCTTTGAACGTGTTATATTTGAGATGCCTTGTGGACAGCCAAGGAGGGGCTGAGTGGGGAACTGGAGCAGCAAAGCGGGACTTCAGGGAAAACGTCTAGGCTGGAGATAAAAATGTACCTTCATCAGCAAGTGGATGGGATTTAAAGCCGTGAAACCAGACCGGTCCCTAACAGAGCGAACGTGGACGGAAGAGAGAAGAGGGCCACAGGCTGAGCCCCGAACTGCTTTGGTGTTTGGGGATGAGGATCAGGCGGCCAAGGAGACCGTGAGTGGAAGGGCGAGGCCAGGAGTGTGTGCAGTCCCGGGAGAAAGAGAAGAGGAGGAAGTGTTTTTGTCGACTGCTGCCAACAGGTCAGGAGAGTGAGTGCCTCCTTCTGCTAACGTCTAAAGCAATTAATCGCTGCGTAACTAATTAGCATAACTAATCACGATGGCCTTCTGTCGCAGCCGCTTCTGGCATCGCCTTGAAATATATCTTTGATTGTTATTTGTGTTTTTATGTGTTTATGAGTCATTTTCTTGACCAGATTATAAACTCTTCTAGGGCAAGACTATGACATAAATTTCCTAAACACCCAGGCGGAGCTCAGCAGCAGGCGTTGCATGCAAGAGGCACTTGGCAAACATTTAATCTTTTAATTTGCATATTCAGCTAAAATACCACGTTCTCCGTGAAATATTGCCCAATTAATCTGTCTGGAAGTGATCTGTCCCTTCTCTGAACTCCAGTTGCACTTATTATTGTCTGCACTTACCAATTACTGCTTCGCATGACGAGTTACCTTCTCATAGCTATGAGAGGCTTATCACTTCTAACTAGGGATTCTCAGTTTTTTGATGGGGAGAAATGTGTTTCCTATGTCTTTAGTCCGAAAGGCCTAAAATCAATTAATTAATTAACTCATGTAATCACCGACCTTGTCCAAAGTGCCTTAACTAAGTGCGTATTATTAATAATAATAACATACTTGTCTCCCCAGTAGCGCTTCCTTTCTGCCCGGTGTCACTCCCTGGAGTCCGGGATTCATGGCCCTGTGCTGACCGGCACGGCCATGCTGATCTCCGCCCGAGCACGGCCGCCTCGGCATCGCCGGCATTTCCTTGCAGAGGTTTACGGCATCGTCATGATAATCGCAGCCACCGAAATCGCGTCTCATGCTTCACAGATAAGAGCAAATTAAAACAGTGGTTTCTGCATCTCCGTTCTGAGAAGTGAGGTGGTGAGCGCGAGATCGCATTGCCCAGGCTGAGGGGTGAATTCCCTGGACGTTAAAACCGATCTGCTTGATCACATCTCTGGTTCTCGACTCCGGCGTCCCAGCCCTGCCCTGAGCCGGGCAGTGCGTTCCTTCATCTCCTCTCTTGGCCCAGCGAGTTCCGATCTGGACGACAGGTTGTAAAAATGAGAGAAAACCGAAGCTGCCCTGAAATGGAGCTGAGGAGGTGCTCGTAACGGCAGCGACAAGGAGAGTTTCCATCGTGAAACTGTACAGTACATGGATGGAAAAACCCCTCAGTTCTGGAGCTACGGCTTTCTGAACAAGCAAAGAGAGGAGATTTCCTTCCTATAAAAAGAAGTTTCGTGCACTAGAATGTCCATGTATCACTTTCATACCCAGAGGAACCTGAATCCAATCTGACAGCAAACTATGTGTCTTCCAGGACGACAAAACCGAAATGCCCCCAGGGGACAGGGGAAGTGAGGGAGGTGCCAGCACTCAGTGCCACGTCAGAGCTTCAGAAAGAGGCAGTTTGATCTTGTAAACGAGCAC